GGCGGGCGGGCGGCCCCGCGTGCGCTGCCTGGTGTCTGCGTGGCTGGGCTCTGGTCGGCCCCAAACCACGCCTGCCCGGCCGCAGCCCGGGGGTTGTGCACACCTGCCCAGCCCAGCCCAGCCCAGCAGCCCGCTGGGGAGCCAGGCTGTGGACACAGCCAAGGGCCAGGCCAGCGCACGGCCGGACCCCGTCCCTGGGGTGCCCTGCCCACGCGGCGCAGGGGCCGGGAGCAGGGGCAGGCTCAAGCGGGGGCTGTGTCCTGGGCCCAGCCGAGTGCAAGGCCCTGCCCCATGCTGGGCCCAACACAGGGCTGGGCTGCACAAACCAGGCGCTGGCAGGACCATCCCTGCACACCATGCCCGGCCCTGGCACCAGCCACAGCGCTCAGGGCAGGCTCCAGCTCCAGGGAACCTGGGGGGAGGCAGGGTCACGCCTGCCTGGCTCACCCTCTGGGGCCGGGGCAGGCACGGGACCCAGGTCCGGGGCTGCCTGATGCGCAGGGATGAGCTGTGGCTGCACATCCCTGGTGGCCAGGTGTGCGTGTGGCAGGGCCCTGCCCAGCAGGTGTGCGGTCCCGTGCCAGCCGCCAGCTTGCATGTGGTGCAGGGGGGGCAGCGAGAGCAACCAGGCCCCTCTGTAAACACTGCCCATGCAGGCCTCCCCGGGCTGCAGCTGCCCCCCGTGCCGGTGGCTTTGTTCGCAGCAGATCAGATCATCCAGCACCTGCTGCTGTAGACAAAGGCCCTGCTGGGCATAAAAGGAGGGCCGGCAGGAGCAGGCCACGGGAAATGGGGCTGCGCACCGGGATGCAGATGCAGCTCCGGCTCCAGCTCTGCCTCTGGCTGGGGGCGAGTGTTGCCTGCGTGGGCACCACCCTGAGCCGCCCCCAGCCACGGCGGTGCCTGGGTAACAACTGCTATGAGTTTGTTAGGCTGCAGCTCAGCTTCTGGGAAGCACAGGGCTGGTGCCAGGCTGGCGGCGGGCGCCTCGCACACCCCTCGCACCTGGCTGCGTGGCCCCCTGTGCACAGCCGCCATGGGAAGGGGGAAAGGTGGTGGATCAGCCTGACAGAGCCAGGCAAGGGGCTCCGGGGCAGGAGCCAGAGCTCTGGGCCTGCTTCATGCCTCCGTCTGCCACTTCGCTCCGGCCCTGGCCCGGGCCGCAGCAGCACAACACGCGGCATCTCCTCCACTGAGCTCCGGGCCAGAGGGGCAGCCATGGCCATGCTGCCCCCACTCCCACCCACCAGCTGCAGCTACCTCATCTGGGCCTCAGGCACCGTCCGTGCTGGGAGGGGCACGTGTGCGCAGGAGCTGCGTTTCATCTGCCACTTCGGTGAGTGCCGGTCTAGGCTGCGGCTGCCCCTGCGCAGGGCTGTGGCTGCAGGACCACAATGCTCGGGGCCACTGGGGAGCAGGGCTCCATGGCGCACAGGCTGCTCCAGGCCCTGGGCATGTGGGGTACAGCGCCCCATGCAACAGGGAAGGGGGCTCAGGCTCCTGCCCCTGCTGCATGGGGCCAAGCCCTGCTTTTCATCCGGGCCAGACAGAGGAGCTGACACCACCACCCCAGCCCAGGGCCGTGGGACTCAGCGCTTATGAGCTCTCCCCTGCAGAGCTCTGGCAGAGCTGGGCGCAGCATCGGGGCCCTGTGGGACATGCTGATCCCCGCATTGTGCTCTCCCCAGACAGGGGCCTGAGTGATGTGCGCCAAGCCAGGATGAACCACAGCAGAGCCCCCTCAGGTAAGGACCCACCTGCTCGGGCTGCAGGAGCCCAGCCTGGGCCAGTGGATGTCCTGCTTCATGCCAGCTGGCCTGGCCTGGCTGTGGCTGATTGTGGCTGCGGTGCTAAGACAGCAGCCCTGGGGCAGCCAGGCTATTGCAGTGCCAGCGCAGGGGCTGGGCTGAGCCAGCTGCCTTCCCGGGTTGAGTCTGGCCCCCAGCCTCCCAGAGGGATGGGGCAGCAGCCACGGGGAGGGCAGGGAGTGAGTGGGAGCAGGGTGTCTGCTCTCGCTGCCCAGCTGCTTCCCCCAACAGGGCACCACCCATGGCGCAGGGACACGGACGCAGTTAGGGCGAATGATGACAAGCCTGACGAGGGTGACGGCCGTGATCATAACAAGGACGATGGCCGTGAAAAGGAGGGTGACAATGACGTGCCCCAGTGGCCCACCCTCCACCACCCCACACCTCCCACCTCC